CCGGGACCAAGATCGAGGTCGAAATCGTGGTCGAAACCACTTTATTGGTCTGCCTCTATAGTCTCTATAATCTATGTAAACTCTATCATCTCTGTTCCTATAGTCGTCTTCATATCTGAAATATTCATAGGGCCTCTCCATTGCTTCCTTAGGATGGGTAGGTCGGTGTCGGGCATCAGAGGACCTTTCTAAATTTTCAGCTATAGTCCTTATCCATGAACACATGGTGTCCACAGTTGGTTCATCAACTGGTTCATCAAACAGTTGAGGTACGATGCAGGGGCACCTCTAATCACTTGCCTCCACATAGGCTCTGTACATGCAATCTTCTCTGGTTCCAAACAGTCATAGTAATCTGAATTGCAGTATATGAGTTCCAGCATGGCTAATTCTCTTAAGTATTGGACGCCTTCTTCAGCAGTCGTCCACTTGTTTGGAGAACTCATTAAATATTCTTTAAATGGGTATTTTTCCCTCACACTATGGAGGATTCGGAGCCAGAGACTGAGATTGTATGTCTCTCTCGTGATTTCCTGTTCTATTTCACGGTCCTGAGCGAGGGATCCTAGTTGCTGTGCCTCATGACCCTTTAACAAGTGGCTTTTGACCCCATTATCCCAACATCGTACCAGCCAGGTGAGAATTTGTTCACCAGGCCGGCGGCTGTAATCCCGTCGTAGATCCCGGAGTTCTGCTGGGGTCATTGTTCGCAGTACCTCACTTGTTCGCACAACTTCTGTTCCGGAATAAGGGTCTCTTCTACGTGGAAGCATTTCCACTTCCCTTTTGACGCTTCTATGTGGAACCGCTTTCTCTCTCTCTCTGCCTCTTTCACGTGGAGGCAGAGACTGAGCATGTAGCAGGGATAGGCTTCTTCTCCATTGTCTAAGCCCACGAGGTGAAGGTAGCGAGTAGTCCTTCAGATTTTGGGATGAAGGTCTCAACCGTTCTTCTGTATCCTCCGCTGGAAAGTCAAGAAGAGAATATTTGGGTATCAGCCTTTTCTTTGGTGGTTTATTGGCCATCTGTGCTGCCGCCCCTTCTTCCATTAGGTGTGTTCTCTTTTCTTTTGGGCGCGCTCCTTCTCTCGCTGCCGCTTCTTCCTCTTTTGCAGCCGTCCATTCGTCCACTGCTACATAGCTGGATGGGATAGGTTCCATGGGGCTGGCAAGTTCCTTTGCTCCTTCTTCTTCTTCTTCTTCCTCTTCTTCTTCCTCTTCTTCTTCCTCTTCTTCTTCCTCTTCTTCTTCTCCTTTTATACGCCTTAATCGTGGAACTACGCCTGTAGCTTCTGCACTATCCCTTATCCATATTTTCTTCTTAGTTAGGGGAGCAATAGTGATTCTTGGGTTGGTAGTTTGGGTCTTCATCTCCGTGGTAGTCTTAACATTGGATGTTGTAGTTTGAGTTCCAGTGTCCATGAGATCTACGGTCTGGACTCCAGTTTCAACAGATTTAGCAGAAGCTGTGCTGACTTCAAGTTGGGTCTTTGTTCCATGCTCAGTTGAATTAACGGAGACAGCACTAACTTCGGGTTGAGTTTGTGTTCCACACTCAGTCAGCTTAACAGAGACGGCACTGACTTCGGGTTGAATTTTTGTTCCACACTCAGTCAGTTCAACAGAGACGGCGCTGATTTCGGGTTGAGTTTGTGTTCCACACTCAGTCAGTTCAACAGAGATGGTGCTGATTTCGGGTTGAGTTTGTGTTCCACACTCAGTCAGTTCAACAGAGACGGTGCTGATTTCGGGTTGAGTCTGTATCCCGACGTCTGTAGACTCAATAGGGGCATCATTTGTTTCAGGCGACATAGTTTGACTTTCTGCTTCTGCCCTAGGCTTTTGATAGTGATCTATGGCAGCTCCATAAGCTGTCACTAGACTCCAGCATAAAGTAAGGAGCTGCGTATTTGGATCATCGTATGAATGATCCATTTGGATCATCGTTGAATGATCCATTCAACTAAACAACATGCCATCTCGTCAGGATTAGACACTTGTTCTGGCGTGAAGTC